TGAATTCATCCCTTTGAATGTTCATCACTCTCTGTAACCTTGCTATTACCAATCACAAAATCCACAGCTACACAAGAATTAACAACTCCAATCAATATCACCACAGTCACAAAAATGAAGATGCGATGACCCCAGAACTTTACTGAGCTGTTAAAAAAAACATCAAAAGACTAAAACTCAGATGCTGTATTTTTACTTACTACAGTAGCAATATGCCACACATTGGCACATAATTTAGCAGCAATACAAACCTAGGGAGTCGCCGTGGCCGAGCGGCTAGACGCTCACCGCGGATCGGAAGGTCGTGGGTTCGCTTCCTGGTGGAGCCAGACTTTCTTCAAAAATGACCTTGGCTCCTAGGTCGACCCAGCCTTGAGTGGGTACTGGGTGCAGTCCCGGGAAAGTGAAGGCGGCCGGCGTGATACTGACCACATCACCCATCTTGTGCCGATTGGTCTATAAAAATATAGGTCTAGTCCTATATGCCCTATACGCCTTAAGGCGTGGAAAAGGGTCCTTTACTTTACTTTTACTTACTAATACAAACCTAACTTAGTGTAGTAACAATATGTCACAAGACCTCACTTAGTATAGTAACAATGTCATACAACCTCACTTAGTGTACTCGCAAAATGTCACACCTCACTTAGGGTAGTAGCAATATGTAACACAACCTCACCTGGTGTAGTAACATATGTCCCACAACCTCATTTACTGTAGTAGCAATGTGCCACACAAAAATCACTCAATGTAGCAACAATATGTCAGACAACTTCACTTAGTATAGTAGTATGTCACATAAAATCACCTGATGTAATAGCAATAATTCCCACAATCTCACTTAATGTAGTAGCAATATGTGACAGGACCTCATTTAGTGTAGTAGCAATATGTGACAGGACCTCATTTAGTGTAGTAGCAATATGTGACAGGATCTCATTTAGTGTAGTAGCAATATGTTAAATGACTTCATTTAATGTAGTAGCAATATGTTTCATGACCTCTTTTAGTGTAGTAGCAATATGTGACAAGACCTCTTTTAGTGTAGTAGCAATATGTTACATGACTTCATTTAATGTAGTAGCAATATGTTTCATGACCTCTTTTAGTGTAGTAGCAATATGTGACAAGACCTCTTTTAGTGTAGTAGCAATTTGTTACATGACCTCATTTAGTGTAGTAGCAATATGTGACAAGACCTCTTTTAGTGTAGTAGCAATATGTTACATGACCTCATTTAGTGTAGTAGCAATATGTGACAAGACCTCTTTTAGTGTAGTAGCAATATGTGACATGACCTCATTTAATGTAGTAGCAATATGTGACATGACCTCATTTAGTGTAGTAGCAATTTGTTACATGACCTCATTTAGTGTAGTAGCAATATGTGACATGACCTCATTTAGTGTAGTAGCAATATGTGACATGACCTCATTTAGTGTAGCAGCAATATGTTACATGACCTCATTTAGTGTAGTAGCAATATGTGACATGACCTCATTTAGTGTAGTAGCAATATGTTACATGACCTCATTTAGTGTAGTAGCAATATGTGACATGACCTCATTTAGTGTAGTAGCAATATGTTACATGACCTCATTTAGTGTAGTAGCAATATGTTACATGACCTCATTTAATGTAGTAGCAATATGTAACATGACCTCATTTAGTGTAGTAGCAATATGTGACATGACCTCATTTAGTGTAGTAGCAATATGTGACATGACCTCATTTAGTGTAGCAGCAATATGTTACATGACCTCATTTAGTGAAGTAGCAATATGTGACATGACCTCATTTAGTGTAGTAGCAATATGTTACATGACCTCATTTAGTGTAGTAGCAATATGTTACATGACCTCATTTAGTGTAGTAGCAATATGTGACATGACCTCATTTAGTGTAGTAGCAATATGTGACATGACCTCATTTAGTGTAGTAGCAATATGTGACATGACCTCATTTAGTGTAGTAGCAATATGTCCCATGACCTCATTTAGTGTAGTAGCAATATATCACATGACCTCATTTAGTGTACCAACATTATGTCAAATGACCTCATTTAGTGTAGAAGCAATATGTCACACAATCTCACTTAGTGTAGTAACAATATGTCACACAATGATCTATTGACTAGCAACATATTCTCCCACAATGTTTGGATATACTTTTGAGTTATAGAGATGCATAACTAAGTGTGATACACTCCCTGTCATAACAATGAAGAAGAATAAAATAAAATTATAAAGGATCTGGTCCCATGTGTGAAGACAACTCTACGAGATGTGAAACACAGTAACATTCACTTAAATGGTTTCTAAACTGATGTATGTTTTGTAATGAAATTATAAACAAAAATGTATTTTCATTTCATGACAGGTAACGAAAAGTGCACATTATTACTAGCTTTTTAACTCCTAAGTCCTAAGGAATGCACCATACGCTCATGTGTTTCTACACAGAAGCCCAATAAATGCAAGATGTGCTGATTTTACGTCTCTCTTGACTAACCCTTGAGCCTCTGACGCTAAACCCCCTGGGACTGAAAGAGTTGACTAAATATTTCATTTACCCTGACTCCCAACACAATGTCTCTGATGCTTAACCCCCGGGGACTCAAAGAGTTGACTAAATATTTCATTTACCCTGACTCCTAACACAATTTCTCTGATGCTAAACCTCCTAAGACTCAAAGAGTTGACTAAATATTTCATTTACCCTGACTCCCAACACAATTCCTCTTATGCTAAACCTCCTAAGACTCAAAGAGTTGACTAAATATTTCATTAACCCTGACTCCCAACACAATGTCTCTGATGCTAAACCCCCGGGGACTCAAAGAGTTGACTAAATATTTCATTAACCCTGACTCCCAACACAATGTCTCTGATGCTAAACCCCCGGGGACTCAAAGAGTTGACTAAATATTTCATTTACCCTGACTCCCAACACAATCTGAAATAAACAAATCGTAAAAATCATATTTTATATTTACTAACTGTCAGCATATATTTATATCACTGACCGTTGAGTACATATTTTATTATCAATAGTAAACACACACACACACACACACACAAAAAGTCTTTAGGCGTATGGGGTTAGACCTATATTTTTATAGACCAAACGGCACAAGATGGGTGACGTGGTCAGCATCATGCCGCCTTTACTTTTCGGGCCTGTAGCCAGTACCCACTAAAGGCTGGGTCGACCTGGGAGCCAGGGTTATTTTTTAGAAAAAAAAGTCCGGCTCCGCCAGGAAGCAAACCCACGATCTTCTGATCCGCAGAGAGCGTCTAGCCACCCCACCACGGTGACTCTCATTATTAACAGAGTATGGTAAATTCTGACTAGATAACTGACACAATATCTATAAGGTATGAAACTATTAAAATAAAACTGCACAATATGACTATATTGTTAACATAATATCATCTTCCTTTTCTGTGTTTTCCCTTGAAGAGACAGTTGGCACACTGTGTTGTATTTTACATCTAAGCTGTGCAGTCTGTGCCTGTGGGCCCAACACACCTGATTTACATAAACTCTTCATTAGTTGCATTAAATAATCTGATTATTAATGGGCAGTTGATCTATTTCTTTCTTCTCAGAGAATGGGGCCCTGGAACCCACACGGGGGACCACAATATCTTGTGTTACTATCAGATCTATACAATCTTGTGTTACTATCAGATTTATACAATCTTGTGTTACTATCAGATTTATAAAATCTTGTGTTACTATCAGATCTATAAAATCTTGTGTTACTATCAGATCTATAAAATCTTGTGTTACTATCAGATCTATAAAATCTTGTGTTACTATCAGATCTATAAAATCTTGTGTTACTATCAGATCTATACAATCTTGTGTTACTATCAGATCTATACAATCTTGTGTTACTATCAGATCTATACAATCTTGTGTTACTATCAGATCTATACAATCTTGTGTTACTATCAGATCTATAAAATCTTGTGTTATTATCAGATCTATACAATCTTGTGTTACTATCAGATCTATACAATCTTGTGTTACTATCAGATCTATAAAACCTTGTGTTACTTTCAGATCTATACAATCTTGTGTTACTATCAGAGCTTTACAATCTTGTGTTACTATCAGATCTATAAAATCTTGTGTTATTATCAGATCTATACAATCTTGTGTTACTATCAGATCTATACAATCTTGTGTTATTATCAGATCTATAAAATCTTGTGTTACTATCAGATCTATAAATTCTTGTGTTACTATCAGATTTATAAAATCTTGTGTTACTATCAGATCTATAAAATCTTGTGTTATTATCAGAAGATGAAAACAATATTTTATGAACAGATCACTGAAACAATTAAAGATACATACAAGAGATCTTCTATAAAACAGTTTTACAGTGACAGTTCTATTTTTCCGTCTATTGCATTATTTATAAAGATCTGCATAATTGATATTCTGACATTTTAAAATTTCACACATACAAGAAAAATCTATCCCAATTTCTTTCATAGCTTTCTGTTGTGAAGCTGTATCTAGGTTCAAAAGAAACCTCTTGAAATACATATCATTATTATCATGTATCCTGCTAAATGGCATAGATATTCATGGCTCTCTCCATATTTAATTTCTTGGTCTTCTAGATCAATTTTATTAATGTTATTCCTTTATGCCACCTTTTTAGACCCTTTGCCATCATATCTCCTCAAACTGTATCAGTTGTAAAATATTTCATAATGCTTCCCTTATCACATGGCCAAACAAAACTATCTTGTTCTTATTTATTCATTATCCAGTTTTGCCATTACACAACACATACGACTGGAAGTTGATTTCTCCATTTTTATTTAATACTTAGTATCCTTCAGTATCACATTTTTCAATTTTCATAATCGTGTATACTTTCCACTTCTATAAGCTTCTTCCAAAACTAAATATGTTTAGGAAAAAAATAATTAACCCATCCTGCAAGAATGTGTACTTCTGGTGAATGATGCGCCTTGTCACAATTCTGAATACATAGTGTTCAACTTCAGGATGGGTGAGTTCGGTGGGCTGGTACTCTGAAAAGGTAGAACCATGTTACAATTCTGGATAGTCAGTCAAAGTTTAGTTAAAACATTCTTCAAGATTTGTCATTGCTGTGTAGCATTTAGGGGATACAACCTCATCTCATCTTACATCTCTAGTACCTTGCAGTGGCACGCGATTAGAAAGGTTTATAGCACTCTGGACAGATTTATAGGTACTCAGATCTTCTGCTCAGTAGCTCCACATGTTCTGTGTGGATTATTAAAATATTTTGTGCCCCTTGTGACATGTTCCTTTCTTGCAGCTTCCACTTCCAGGTTCATCAGCTTGGACAGGAATACGCAGTCATGCGTTTTGCTGTCTTCATCTTCGCAGCAAGATCTGCACACAGCCTTAACGACATCACTTCTGTCTAGTACCAGACCAGTCACAGAAACCTCAAACATCAACATCAAAACACACAAAGGTAATGGTTAGACCAACCACTTGTGAAGTGCTTAATGATAAAAACTAGGGCTTTACCGAATAGTGATTTTCACTATTCGGCCGAATATGAATAGCAGGACCAACTATTCGGCCGAAAACAAATAGTGTATCATCATCATCAGGTGCCTTGCCAACTGGCCTGGGTGAATATGCCTCGCCACAATCTGCGATCACCTGCAGCATGTATTAGTTTGTGTGCTGACACACCTCCATGCTATGCAACAAGACTGTCAAGAATTTTCTATCTTTTCTTCCTCTACCCTCCTTTCCATGGATCTTTCCAGTGGTCACCACATGTTCCATTTTTCCCTCTTCTCATAACAAGGCCGAAAAATGGTGACCGTCTCATTCTGATGTCTGTGATTAGTTGTCTTCGGACTCCTGCAACTTTCAAAACCTCTTGGTTGCTTTTTTTAGCTGTCCAGGGTATTTTACGCATTGTTCTGTAAAACCACATCTCTGAGGCCTCAGGAAATTGTTTGGCCTGCCTATTGATTGTACAGAACTCACAATGCATTGCCTTTAAATATAAGTGCTTACTTGATGAGGCTTACAGTGACTATTGTACAGACCACATTTCCCACTTCAAAATTTCAGCCAAAATGTAATCACAACCTTACTTATCCACTGCACCTTCACGAATACAGATGGAGGATCAGTCGCACCTCGAGATACATACAAAAACAATTTTTTAGCACGCTGCGGTTGGCATTTTATGCAGTATGATACACTTTGAGTGTGAAACAAGGAGAAAAAACTTTTCGACAGTGGCGAGGAAAGACAATTAAAATTTTAACTTTTAAGTATTTTTATGCCTTCTTTCATAATGTCACAATTTATAGCCGACTTTTCTTGATTTTTAACTAGCACCTGTGGCATATGCACCCAGTTTGAGAACCTCTGCTGTAATGCCTCGGTCGAGTCAGCAGGCAAAGAACTTACCAGCTGCTGTACCACGCAACCGGGTTGCAGTTTCCCCCGCTACGACAGGCTTAGGCAACAGCATCTATCGTGTTAATGAGAGAGTTATTTCAGTCCATCGCAGTGTATGCAAAACGAGTGTAAGGTAACCACTATTTGTATTTGGCCCGACCTCAAGTATCTGGCCGAATACCGAATAGTTATTAGGTCCATTATTAGGCCCCGAAGCGAATACAAAGCGAATATTCGGTACAGCCCTAAACAAACCATTATTGATTGTTGGACCCAATCTGGATTTTTGTTAGCATATTTATTTAGTCACTCAAATAATCCATGAATCAATGAGAACCTGCTTTATGGGGTTGTGTCGCAATATTTGAGGCTACCTTCTTTATTTTCTGTGGAAATATTCAAGATTGCATTGTTGATCCTATGTAAGCTGTCATTTCCTAATAGGGTAGCTTTGGGTTCAGCACTATAAGCCCAATGGTTTCTGCCATTAAGAAGCCAACAAAGGAGTCAAATTTTCCTGATTGCAGACAACAAGAAGGTCACAATATTTTGCAAAGTCAGTGGTGGGTAATCAACACCCAAGTCTTAGACTCATCGTTGAAAAGCTCTTGAGAACCAGCACTGATAACCTACTTGGATTAAACCAATTCATTATCAGCCCCCAGTTCAAGTCATAATGGAGAAAATACCTTAAATCAACAGGATTCCAAAGCAGCAATAATAATATTACAATTTATAATTACACAGATTATGTCTTATAAGGGACAATAATACTGTAACCTAACATGCAAGTCACAAATGGTGACAAAGAAAGGCTGGCGCAAGACTGCCTGTTAATCAATAATGGCTGTTCCTACTTCACAGCAAATGGGTCAGCGCATAGTTGCTCCGCTCCTGTTCCAGCAAAAACCATACGGAATACCCATAAATGTCGTTTGTGAACAAACAGAAACAGACTGCAGTCTCAGCCAAGCCAATAGCGTATGCAAGCATTAAATGCATAAGGCAGCAGTCAGAAGTGCCAACACAAATAGTCTGCCACTAGAATTGCAGTTCATTGTCAATGCAACAGATCAGCAGTCAGACCTGCAATATCACATAAGGCACCACCTTTTACTGTGGCCTCTTGCCATTTTTGGAATCTGCAGTTCACGCCATAAACCACATTCAACACAGTCGTAAGGCATTCTAAATGAATTCTGCAGCTTACAGTATCCCACCAAGCACTCAACATAGTTGCTGGGCAACTGAACTATATACTTTCAGTCCACATATAGAGGAAACAGCAACAGCAAATTACATGCCTGAACAAAAACAGTCAGCCCACCCATCCCCTATTTTGGACTGGTTGTCTCACTACTTATCCTATTAAAAATTTGAGTTGCAAAATTTAATCTCTCTTGAACAAAGTTTATGAAGGGCTTGGCATGTGTGGGTGGCGCCTAATATTTAATGGAGAGATGAAAAGCAGACAGATGAAGAAGGCAGAGAAAAAGAAACAGAAGAAAAAACAGAAGAATTAAATGAATTACAGTATTTGTTTGCGGCGTCCGTGGCTAAGGCGTTGCGAGTCCGACTCGTAAGCCAGCATACCGCGATCGAAACCCACTGCAGGCTGCGTGGATTTTTGTCGTGGTATGGGACGTCGCAGGTCGACCCAGCCTTAAATGGGTACCAGGATGGGCTGTCCTGGGAAAGTAAAGACAGCCGGCGTAATGCTGACCACATTACCCACAGAGTGCTGATGGTCTGTAAAAATATGGGACGCTCTGCCCATATGCCCGATGCGCCAAAAGGCATGAAAAGGGAACTTTACTTTACTTACAGTATTTGTTTAATCGCCAACGGGAATTAGGTATAAATCCCAACTATAGTCCAAACAGGCTAAAACAGAAAATAAAAGGACAAGTTTAGGTTTGTGTTCAACTTACATCTCTGAGGTGCACATCCTGACTTAGTAAATCTGTTTCCAAATCCTGGCCACTATCCGAGTTCTCAAAACTGTACAGTGGCATTAAGTGATGTCGGAGCTTATCCAATCTATTTACAATTTAAATACAATACCAAATATTTATGAATTATCTTAACTACCAAGTTTCTACAAACATCCTCACATACCAGTCTTCTACTTTTAATCACAATTACTAAACTTCTATTACTGTTATATACCAAACTTAAATTTTTATTGAAAATTACTGCACTCTTTTATCAGAGTTAACTGCCAGTCTTCTACTATAATAGATAAATACCAAACTTCTACAGTCTTTCATACACACCAGTCTCCAATTTTTTTCTTCAGCACTGGGAGCCCAAGAGGTACATTGCTGCAGATGTCACTCGCTCCCATTCTTCTCTGTGACTGGTCTTCTCTTTCCAGTTTGTGACTCCAAGTGTTTATATATCTGTCTGTTCGTTATCTCTCCACTGTCTTCTAGGTCTGCCTCATGGTCTGCTCCCATTCAACTCATTTATGTAGGCAGTTGCTGTCGTTATCTGCCATTTTCTCTATTTGCTCCACTCAATGCAGTCTATTTATTAGCACTCATGATGTCAGTAATTAGTGGTGATTTAAATAGGTTATGAATTTTGCTGTGGCTTATCACTCTCCATTCTCCCTGTATGCATCTTTAATGGGTCCAAAGATTCATCGTAAAAGTCTGTTTTCATAAGTTTGTAATATAAGGCCTCGTCTCTCTTAGTTGTTCTCTGAGCTTCAGTTGGTCTTATCAGTGATTCATATACTGTGATTTTGATAATCAACTACTATTATTGATAAATACCAAACTTCTTCAATCATTTTTCAATACCAGTTGTCTATAATTCTTCTTCTTCTTCACGTTCACCAGTAGTAAGCTCTGGCGGAAAGTTCTGGTTGTTCATCCACTTCTGGACTCTAGTCTGTTCCAGAACCTGCGTTTACATCCATTTCACATGTCTGACTCATTTGCATGCAGATTGTTGGTTCCTTGTCTCTCAGGCAGATGTACTCCATCTTCGAAGGGGAACACGAGGAAGGAGAAAGAGTGCCCACTTAAATTCATAAAAGACAAGGAAGGGGCTCTGCTTACTTCTACAAATGATATCATGGGCAGATGGAAAGAATACTTCTCAGAGCTCCTCAGCGTTGAGGGAAGTCATGACCCAGAAATAATGGACCTCACTGCTGAGAAGGAATTCAATCATGGGGAAGATAACATCAGGATGGAAGAATTGAAGGCAGCTATTGAGAAGATTAAGCTGGGAAAAGCAGCAGGTCATGATGGTATAACACCAGAGATGGTGAAATATATGGGAGCCGAAGGTGAGCGCCTTCTACTGAAGGTTCTCCAGGCAGCCTGGTGTAGCAAAACTATACCAAAAGATTAGGAGATTGCCATCATTATACCTATATTTAAAAAAGGTGATAACAGACAATGTGAAAACCACAGAGGCATATCCCTCCTCAGCGTTCCAGGTAAAAGTTACTCTAGAATTCTTGAGCAGAGACTTAGAAGTCTGGTAGAGCCACAGCTGGACGAGGCCCAATGCGGCTTCAGAGCAAACCGAAGTACTCAAGACCTTATCTTCACACTGAGACAGATGAGTGAAAAAGCCCTGGAATATAAGAGTGAGATGCACTTATGTTTTTTGGATCTGGAAAAGGCATTTGACAAGGTACCCTGGAACAAGCTCTGGGACTGCTTGGCAGGGAAAAACATCCCAGCACCCCTGATCAGTGCAATACAGAGTTTCTACAAAAGGTGCAGAAATTATGTAAGAACAGCAGACCAAAGGTCAGAAGAATTCAAGACCGCCAGCGGTGTTAGACAAGGTGATATTCTCTCACCTTACCTCTTCATTCTTATGATGGATGATGTCATCAAGACGTGTAAGGAGAAGACAAAGAAGTACTCTGTAGGGTACTGGAAGATGAGACCAATCTGTATATCAGAGCTGGCTTTTGCAGACGATGTGGCCCTGATAGCTAAATCAGAGGCACACCTTCAGTCCAACTTACTTGTCTGGAAGGAAGAGCTTGAAAAGAAAGGTATGACCATCAGTATCTCCAAAACTAAAACCATGGTGATCTCAAGAGAGGAGAAGAAACACCAGATCATGATGGGACAGTATGCATTGGAGCAGGTTAACTAGTTCAAATACCTTGGAGTTGTACTTGACCAAAACGGAGGCATTAAGACTGAGCTGGCTACACGAAAAGCAGCTGCTGGGAGACTCTTCCAAGCCATAAACCGAGGGTTTCTTAGCAAAAGAGAAATTTGCAAGAGGACGAAAATGGCTGTTTACCGCTCTACCTATGTACCAGTCCTGACCTATGGGTGTGAGTCATGGGCAATGACAACAGCTCACAGAAGCCAGCTGCAGGCCTCGGAAATGAGATACCTGAGAAAGGTGGTCCAAGTGACAAGAAGGGACAAAGTCCGCAATCAGACAATACGTCAAGATCTTGATACCCAGCCCTTACTAACCCGAGTAGATCAGTCACAGTTACGATGGTTTGGACATGTATGCAGAATGGGAGAAAATCGGCCACCATGGCAAGCATGGGAGGCTAAGAACCAGGGAACCTGACCTCCGAGACGACCCAGGGTGCGCTAGGAAGACAACATCCGACAGTCCCTAACTGACAGAGGACTGGAATGGAACAAAGCCAGAAAGAAAACTGTGGATAGAGATGTCTGGCGATCTCTCTGGCAAACCTCTACACCCCAAGGTAGAAGAGGAGTGACTAAGTAAGTAAGTATTAAATACCAATCATTCACTAACATAAATAAATATCAAATTAAAAAAAAAAAATTACAAACAGCAGTGCTCTGTTCTTACATGTACAAAGACTAATAAAATAAAAATGAAGACACACATACAATTCAATATACTGAAAACAAATTTAATGTGCAAGGTAAAATTATAAATATTTATATCATTTTATAAACTTCTCTCTCACCTGCTGCGTTTCAGCATCCAGACAATCTGAAATATAGATTATAATGATTTATCTATAACAACTGAGTACAAGATATTAAAAACATCAAAATCAATTGCTGCTCTAATTTCTTAAAACAAATCAGCAATACAAACTATGGCAAACAATGAAAACATATTTTGTACAAGAACTAATACATCCAGATGAAGGAGATGCATCATTATCATCTTCAAATACACTTTTGTCACAAAAATGAGGTCATACATGCAAAAAACAACCAACCAGGAAGGCTTACTATGCCCCCACCCTTTCACACAAAAGGCCAAAGTAGTTCTATATGTTGACCAAAAAGGCACAAATTCCACAGCTCTGCTGTAATCAGACATATCACAAATCAGTTATGTCCAAAACTGAAAGAATATCAGGCAAACGCAGAAGGAAAAATGCCATTTTAGCAGTAAAGGTCAGCTACAAAGATCCTACTGTCTTGAACATTTATGATGCATGCATACAAGTTTCTTTCAGTTCACTCGATGCTGACCAACCATATGTAAAGACTGTTGATTATTTTTAATCTTCCACATATTTGTAATCTTCCACACTACCAATCCATATTTGCGCTAGCTCATCATATGATGGGACCTAACATGGGATACTGTCAACTCAGAGCACACCTACACTGAATTGGTCTTGTTAATTTTGCAGCGGCATGTGGTTGCAGTGCACCAAAGCAAACTCCAGAGCATGTCTTACAAGACTGCCCAGACTTTGCCAGTCGGAGAAACCAATCTGACAGGCCACCATACAAGACAAACTATAGGGCACCGGTGAAGACCTTAAGGACATCATTCTGTTTGTGACCCCACCCATACTGGAACATACGCAAAGCAAATGTTGAAGAATGATTGAATGAATGAATGAACTAACTTTTTTTCTAAAGGGTTATGAATAACAAGAAGATGGGAACTACAGTAGCAAAGTTGCTAGCATGCTTGACTGCCAGTCAGTGGTCATGCATTTGAATTCCTTCCTCTCAAAGGGGATTTTTTCCATTGATTTGGACTTCTAGGTCGACCAGCATGAAGGGGGCACAAGAAAATGTTCTGTGGAGTTTTATTCTTTAGCGATAGACCTTTACCATGAATTTATTTCAACAAGGGTTTCCAAAAAGAGACCAAGCCATAGGGGATTATGTCTGGTACAATCCTCTTTTTCTTCTTAGCATTCACTAGCTCAACACTTGTGTGGAAAGTTCTGGTTGCTTGTCCACTCCTGGACTATGGGCTTGACCTATAACTTGAGTTTTGCATGCACATCCATTATACAGATCTAGTTATCTGTACACAGACTGTTAGTTCCTTGCATCTCAGGTAGATGCACTCCCCGCGATTAGTTGCCTCCAAGATGTGCTTGTTAAGGGATAGTGGGTCTATTCTTTGTTTTTTAAAATGGAGCTCCCGGGATGTGGTTCTTTGAACTTGATCAAACAGATCTTGACAATGATCCAACCTTGCTTGTATGCATGATTGCAGTGCAATGGGGAAAACAAAACACAAAAATGTGTTCAACATCTTCTGTAATTAATTGAAAAACAGAAGCTAAATTATATTTGGAACAAGATCCCAAAAAAATTTCAGTAAAACCTCATTAACATAAACTTGCTTAAGAACACCAGGGTAACATGAACCAAATTTTGATCCCAGCAAAAATGTATAATTTTTGGTCCCTAGTTTGCACAAATTTTATTAACATGAACTATTGTTTTTCCGGTTCCTTGAAATTTATTTTAACAAGGTTTTACTGTAGTTATAAACATACCAATCCAATTGCAATTCCCACAAACACTACAGCAGTAGCAGGCAGCAGAATAAACAACAGAACGTGGTTGTCTTTGCCATGTTGGTTGCTGATGGCGGTTGATGTCTCATTTGACACACTTATGACTGTGGTATCAACGAGTGATAAATCACGAAGTGACATTATTCATTTAGATATTGATGTTACAATAGGAAAATGTCTCCATTCCTCACCAACGTTTTTAATTTTTTTAACCGACAAGTTCTTTTGTCTCTTACATTTTTATTAAAAGTGTAACTTCTAAAGCAACCAAAAGTAATCAGCTTTCCTAAAGAGAAAGAAATCGGCAATGATAAAAGTACAGGTGATTGGCAACGTTATATATATACTTTAACAATTTTCTACTTTCCAATGAGTTGTTTATAATTCTGATGTTCTTTGGTGCGCATCCTTGAAAAGACAATTGGCACACTGTGCTGTCATCTATACCTTTTCCCCAAAAATGGTGCCAGGAACCCACTGGGCTAGTTCTGATATGATTCCTATGCAACAATTCTATCACTAATAACTGCAGAAAATATAAATTATATGGGCACAAAACCAAATTTAGAGTTACTCTACAACATCAGAGGCCACTTTTAATTACCCAAACTATCAATCTGTCTTGCACGTGTCTAAACAAATATAAGTAATTGACCTTAGATGAACAAGGAACAGAAAATGCTCTATACACTCAAACAGAAACTGATTATTTCGGTGATAGAATATGGTTTGGGACTGCTAACATTATCTCATATCCAAACAGAGAAGCTAGAACGCATACAAAATGAAGCCATGCGAGTCATTTTGGGGGTGTACACGAGAAATATCAATTGTGTGCATGGAGCACATACTTGCACTACCATCTGTATATGAAAGATACAAGGTTTTACAGGCTTTTAAATTCACCAACGGACAGTTAATACCTTCTGAAGGAGCTTTAGGGAATAGCAAGGGACAACAGCTGAAAAGAAGTGGCTTTTGAATGGCACAGGCTGAACTGTTTGTGCTACTGACAAGATAGCACATGGTGAAAAATTAGTTATAGTGTCGTCCAGCAAAAAGACTTTCACAGAGTGATAGTTAACTTGGATCAAGGGTTCAGGGAATGAATAGCTGGTGAAACAGTCTGGAGAATGGAGGTGGAGGCCGTAATGGCAGCTTTCCGATAGCTTGAGAGCAGCACCGCCAGACATGTTGTAATTGTAACACTCACAGATCATACTTTGGAAAATTGAAAATGGAGTCCTGGGTGCAAAGGGACTCACTTGATAAGACCCAGATTACAAGCATATCATGGATTTTCTGTCCAGGACATTCAGGTTGCTAGGTAATGAGCAGGCTGATAGATTAGCTTTTGCTGCTGCTCTGGACGGTGAGCTACTTTTTGATAAAGCGGATGTGGTGAAGGCTCTTTGGCATCAAATGGACAGTGCAAAAGAACAGATAGGGAATCAATACACTGATAGGCTAATTCGAAAGGGAGTGTATAGAGGTTCTGGAAAATATTTAACACTGAAGAGGAAACAGAGACATATTTTTAATCAGGTTGAAACTGGTATTATCAACATGTCAACTTGTCGTTGGTTACTGAAAAAGGGGACAGAGCCCCGAGTGCAGTGATGTCAATTCTTGATTCATTCATTCCTTAACTGAAATGACTCTTTGGAAACAAAAATTAACTGTTTAGTTGACTGCAGAAAGTCGCACTTGACTGGCAGTTCAGCAGCAAGAAATTAACTTGTTTATCAGACTCAGTTATAGGGGATCTGCAAAATGTTAACTGTACCATCATAATCATTTACCATGCTGTTAAGCATTCATAAGCTGACATGTTCTGCCATTTTACACAACCACCAGAATTATGATTCCGTATTAGGTCTGTATTCTTGTCTCTCCCATCCACATAACTGAACTAAACCACTGTATTAGTAGATCTAAATAAAAAATATGGCTGTGCAAGTGTTAGGTCTTATATATATATATATATACATACTGTGGAACCTCACATAATGAGCATAATTCGTTCCAGAATCATACTCGTTAAGCGAAACACTCGTTTTGCGAAACAAGTTTTCTCATATAAATTAATGTAAAATACGATAATGCGTCTCATTTCGAAAAAAATACTCACAAAATGCTATGTATAACGTTTATTCAAAGAAAATTATTTACATTTTGTTAAGAAGAGTGAACATCTTCATCTTTTCTTCAAACGTGGAATGAACCCCCCTGAAATGCGAATTTGATTTGAAAAAAAAAAAAGTCAAAATAATTATGATACATAATTACATTTTTTTTTAATTAGAATGATGTCCAGAGACATTATTTTTTGCTGACGCTTCAAACTTTGGTGAAAATGAGGCACAGCATTATCATTAAATAAATTTGCAACGCGCATAGCCACTTCCTTATTAGGGTGATGCTTCTCAATGTAAGATGCAACAGTTTGCCATGCTTTCAGCGTTTCTCTTATTTCATCAGAAGATTGTTGCTTTTCTGTTACCTCCTCCTCCTCTGACAAGCTTTCCTCTAAAACTTCTTGCTGTGAAATACAATGAAACTCCATAATCTCTTCGGTGGTCAGCTCTTGGCTGTGCTCTTCCACAAGCTCTTCGATGTCACTGTTATCCACCTACAATCCCATGATAGTGGCCAAAGACACAATCTCGTTGATTACAGGTTCCACAGGTACTGTCTTGAACCCTTCAAAGTCACAAATTGAAAACACTGTCCGGCCAAAGCTTCTTCCAAGCAGATGTTAGGGTTTTCTTGTTAACCTTCCCCCGCTTTGTCGATCATCTTGAGGCAGGCAACGATGTGGAAGTGATTTTTCCAAAACTCTTTGAGAGTGAGGTTGGTCCCTCCAGTCACCTGAAAACAATGCTCGAAGAGCGCTTTAGTGTAGAACTTCTTTAAGTTAGAAATAACTTGCTGGTCCATGGGCTGGAGTAACGGAGTGGTGTTGGGAGGCAGAAACTGGATCTTGATGAACTTAAATTCTTTAGAGAGGTCATCTTGTAGGCCTGGAGGATTCATGTACATATTAGTTAGTTAGTTAGTTAGTTAGTTGGGTTATCCTCATTGCACTCCGGACATGTCCATAGGTGCTCAGATCCTCCCCTCAGTATGAACCCCAACGTCCGATGGCTAATAGTACCAGTTCTATGTTGATTAACAAGTCTTCTGACGTGTCCGGTGTGCGTCTCGTTTTTTGCTGTGCCGATCTTAATTCCCAAGTCTGCCATTCTGGCGAGTGATGTGGATTCACTGCCACCAAAGTCCTCTATCCTTCCCATTTCTCTGAGGGCATTGATAATATCAGCATGATCCATAGGCCGACCGTCGGTAGTGATAGCGGATCCAGCCAACCTGTCAGCTCTTTCATTTCCATCGACGCCTGCGTGTCCCGGAACAAAAATAAAGGTGACTCCACGCACAGTGGACTTCTGTAATGATTCAAGCCATTGTCTTCGCACTGAACCTGCCTGAACCCTCCGGATCATACTCATTGAATCACTGAGCATATGCGGGTGTATTTTTGTGTTTCAAGCCAGGCAAACGCTTGCGTCACTGCCATCACCTCCATCGTCATGCTGCTGGTTGTCATGGAGAAGGCACCGTTGGCTTCTTTGACTGTTCTGCCCGCTGAGCGTGCTGTAAATGCCCATGCGCTTCTTCTTTGGCGTATAACGGATCCGTCTGTATAGATTAGTGCATCTGCGTCGTCTGAATTTTCACCGATGAGAGCGTTGACCTCTGCATTAACAGCAACAGGATTCTCTTCTCTACATCGCCTGTTGAGTGTGACAATACAGGAAAATGTACAAATACACGCCTGAGGCACAGGTATCCATTCTGCACCAGGTATGATGTCGGTTAGGCTGCATATTTGCCTAATAACATCTTCTGCCCGACCTAGCCACGATTTACCCCTCTTCAGTCTGTCGCCCTTTTCACTAAAAAGCGCTTGATGCAGTGGGTGTTTCTTATCAGCACATATTTTGAGGTATGCCCGAGCCCTCCACATCCTGATCCTTTGGTTCATTGTTGGAAAGTCAAGTAGATACCTCATTGCTTCACAGGATGTGTCTCTTGTACATCCCAAAATAATGCGCATGGCTTCATTTTGCACCTTTTCGAGTCTTTCAATCTGGGTAGCACTGACAGTGAGGATGGCCAGAGCGTATTCAATGGGTGAAAGGACCAGACCGTAGAATAGAAGTATTAGTAGTCTTTGCTCGATATTGGAAGCAGCCATAATCCTCATTGCAGATAGACCTTTGCGTGCTTTTGTTATCACATGGTCAACGTGTTCCCTGAATGACAAGCTGCGATCGAACCTCACCCCGAGAAACGTCATAACGTTGGTTCTGATCAATATATTATCACGCATTTTCACTTCTGGTAAGTCCGACTTGACAATGTGATTGTTCAAAGAGAACCATGACACTGATGCCTTCGAAGGATTGACATAGGCATTGGAACCATCACACCAGGCGGCAATTCGATCGAGTTCTTTGTGCATTGTGCTGGCGATCTCCTGTCTATCACGCCCTCGTCGATAAATCAAAATGTCATCAGCAAATGACAAAGTCCTTCCCTTTCCATTCAACTGCTGCTCAGTGATCATCACCGTATAAACGTTGAATAAGACTGGTGATAGCGGTGATCCCTGTGGCAAGCCTGGACATATCTCATATGTACATATGATATATGTACATATATCACAATATAACACAAGTTTGAGAAAATGTGTGATCACAAGCGACACTACGATGCTACTGGAACGGGTGCTTAACACAGACTGATATAATAACTTGCGCACAATTCTGGACTTCAACTCTCCTCGCCACTCGTTATGCGAAACGTCACTCGTTAAGCAAGTCATTTTTTTACAATTTGTTTTGCTCTTTATGCGAATTACTCGTTATGAGAGGTGCTCGTTAAGCGAGGTTCTACTGTATATATATACACACTCACACAAATATGTATGTTTGCTGATTACTGATAATTTACTATTACTATTATTTAGATTTATGGGTAATGAAATAATCAGTGCCGATGTTCCCAGTCATCAACCATGTGTACTGTGCTTGTCAGATTGCGGTTTTTTAGTGCTTTAAAACTGTACAATGTCACTG